TTCACACACTCAATCTCTCCTTCTTACTCTTCCCTCCCCCTCTCTCTAACTCAAATACATAGGCACTCTCTACCTCTTTCCCTCTCTCCCCCTCTCTAGCTCAAATTCATAGGCATTTAGACTCATTGCCAAACTCACTCTCTCCCTCTTTTTCACAAATACACACTTCTTCATAGCTCCTCCTCCAATTATCTGACCCTCCCTATATACTGACATGCATTTCAGCATATGCACAAACATTTAAACACATACACACATTTCCGAGCTCATATCAAAATTGTAGATAACTTGTCCAAAATTCATTATTTGAACAAAAGTGCAACATTTTTTTTTAAATTGGCTCAATAAAATAAAATTCAGTAAAGACATTTTTGTTGACTGAATTTAACAAATTTTTATTAAATTAATTCTTGCTGTCTAAATATAATGCACACACACACACACACACACACACACACACACACACACACACACACACACACAGTGCTAGTTTGAAATAGACTATACCCAGGTATTTTTGCTGTACAAAATATATGGTCTGTTATAATAAATATACTGAGCTCTCTGTGGATCAGTTCTAATATCTGATATTACTAGGGTTCAAGTGCATACCAACGGATCTATTACGTGTACTATATATATATATATATATATATATATATATATATATATATATATATATATATATATATATTGAACAATAAGAAAATAAAAAAAAAAAAAAATAAAAAAATAAAATCATTAGACACACTGGGTTGTAGATTAATATTCTTTCGTTTTTTTTATTATTATTATTCCATTTAGATTCCTCGACTAGTTTCGACCGAAATGGCCATCATCGGGAGGAGAAATATTTCTGCTTGCTGTTAGCAGTGAACTACAGAAATGAATGTCTTTTGTTGGAGAAAATGAACTTTTGTCTGTAGTTTTCATTTGTTTTTTTTTTTTTATCTTTTCACATGAATCTTTTAACATTCCTTGTGTTGGTCAAACAGTCTCTTTTAAGTTGTTATTTGAGATAAGAACTGGATAGATACATTTTATCCTGAATTCTCTGGTCAGTTTGACAGTTTTATTGGACCTGGTGAGGGGATGTGTCTCTGTTTAGTGTTTGTCTGTGTGTTATTTGGTTCTTAGGGAGTGAGTGAGTATGATATGTGTAAGCGTGTGTATTGCTGTAGGTGTGTGTTATCATTTGGCTCATTAGGGAGTGAGTGAGTATGGTGTGTGTACGTGTGTATAATCGTGTGGGTGAGTGTATAAGTGTGAGGGCCTCCATTCCTCCGTAAGCATGTCTGTCTTGTGTGGGTGAGAAATGTGGGTAGGTTTTTGATTTGTTGAGTTATATATTGTTACTATTATATATTGTTAAATTTATGATTTAGCCCGGCTGGGTATTGTGTTTTTAGACGTTGTATCCACTTATTTTCATGGGACTCTAAAATCTTTCTAATGTTATCTGCTCTGAACTTTTCTATTCTCTCAATTATAGTGAATCTGGCATGGGTTTTTGAAATCGTGTTTTCTAGGCGGAAATGTTGTTCTACAGGTAATAACTGTTCATAGGGAGTCGATTTAATTCGCTTACGATAATTATTAATTCTGTAGTTAAAGGGCCATTCATATTTTCCTACATATTGTTTCTGGCATAGTGTGCATTCTAGGAGGTAAATTATGTTTTGACTTCTACAGTTAGAATCGTGGTAGATTTTGAAAGTAGATTTAGTGATTTAGCTAGTGAATGAATTCGTGTTTTTTAATATGGTTGCAACATAAACTTCTTTTTGTTGTTACATGGTTGGGAAAAATCCTGTTGTTTTTTTGTTCTCAGTTCCTTACAGATTACCTTGTCCCCTGAAATGTGGTTTACTACCTATGATTTCTTTTTAGGTTCTTAGGTCTACGATATGCAAGAAGGCCGGGTTCCTTAAGCAGTTTTTTTTAGGTCTGGTTTGAGATGTAGTATTTCCCAGCGACGTTTGATTATTTGGGATAGTGGAGGCAGAGTGGGATTGAAAGTGGTTACTAGAGGATGCGGCTAGATTTATTTTAATCTTGTATATTAGGGTGTTTTCTCTAGGTGTGGAAATTGCTTTATTTATTTGTTCCCTGATTAGGTGTTGTTTATAGCCACGTGTTGTGAATCGATGCTCCAGATTTTCAATGTGTTTATTTAATTCTTCATTGTTGGAACATATCCTTCTGAGTCTAAGTGCTTGTGAATAGGGAAGGTTCTCTTTGAGGTGTTTAGGGTGGGAAGACTTAAAGTGTAGATAGTTGTGGGTGTCAGTGATTTTTTTAGTGTGTAGTGTCGTTTGTAGTTTCCTGTTTTCATCTATGTAAATGCGGGTGTCTAAAAATGTTACTGATGTTGTGGATTTTCATAGTCAAACTTAATTGAGTCGTGCACTGTGTTTAGGGTCATAAGGAATTGGGTAAGTTTGTCATCACTACCCCAGTATACAAAGAATATATCATCGATATATCTTGCATAGAATACGCAGTCGCTACCAATGATTGGATAGATATGGGTCTCCTCAAATTTTCCCATGAATATTGTAGCATATGATGGAGCTGCAATGGTGCCCATGGCACAACCTCTTATTGATGATAGTGTGCTCCATTGAAGTTGAAAGTATTCAATGTAAGGACATGCTCCATGAGTTTTATGATGACTTCTGTGGGGGGGTCTGTTTTCTTCTTTTAGTAAGTGCTTCCTGAAGGGCGGCCAGCCCTTCGATGTTTTTAATGTTTTAATATAGTGTGACCTAACGTCCATAGTCACGAGAATAGCTTTCTCTGGTACTGTTTGGATGTGATTAATTTTGTTCAGTAGATCTGTTGTGTCTCTGATGTAGGATTTTACTTCCTTAGCTAGCGGTTGTATGTAATGGTCTATGTATTTGGAAATTTTTTCGTGTATATACTTATATATATATATATATATATATATATATATATATATATATATATATATATAATATATAATTGGTATATACGGAATGAATTTCTCAATAATTTTGTAGATTTTAAACTTAATAGTAATTACATTTGGATTTTAAATTGCCAGTTTTTAATTTTAATATTAAATTTTATCATATAATTTTATAATTATTGGTTAGTATAAATTATTTTTTAATATTACACGTATTTTAAAAGATCTGAATTGCTATTATAACATGATTTCGTTGTCAAGCTTTTGAATCTTTCTATACTTGGTTTTTGATTGGTTATTCTAGCTTTTGTAACAATGTTTCCCCCTAGTGTAGGATGGTTAATTAATCTGAAACTTTTAAAATCATTTATTTTATTTTCAACATCATCACTTAATAAGACACAGAGTGTGTTAAAACAAAATGGCTATTTTTGTAGTGATTTTATAACATACTTATGTTATAATTTTTTTATAATAATAATAATATATATATATATATATATATATATATATATATATATATATATATATATATATATATATATATATATATAATGAGTATACATAGTTTAACTCAACGATAACACAATTCTGAGTTGTTATGTACAGCACGATCGTTAGGTGCTATTTGGAAACTGACCGTTGTATAATTTAAAAATTGATATTTATACAGTACGTGGGGGTTGGGAAAGTATAATATAAAAACAATATATACACATATGCAAAAACATATAATACACTTAATCCAACAAGAAAAATAAAATGTAATACAAATATAAATGTACACATCTAATAAGTAATTTTTGAATATAATACATATGTACACATAGATATCATAACATATTCTCAAACACACACACACACATATATATACAGTGTAACTCGGATATAAGAGAGTTGTCGGGACTGGAGAAGAAGTCTCTTATATCCGGGTTTGGTCTATTTTATATACATTAACACAGGCTCTAATTTGGGACCAGAGAAAATTTCTTATATCCGGGTTTCTCTTATATCCGGGTTTCCTATATCTCTGCTCAGCATATTAGCAGTATAAACCGCAGGTTGGCTTTTTGAGGGTTGAACAAACACAAGTGTGCCTGAGCGAGCGTCTGCAATAAGGATAGGCTAACCTCCCTAGTAGATGTGTATCCTCAAATACAAGTGGCCAACTAATATATACAGTGTAACCCGGATATAAGAAACCCGGATATAAGAGAAACCCGGATATAAGAGATTTTCTCTGGTCCCAAATTAGAGCCTGTGTTAATGTATATAAAATAGACCAAACCCGGATATAAGAGAAACCCGGATATAAGAGACTTCTTCTCCGGTCCCGACAACTCTCTTATATCCGGGTTACACTGTATGAATATACAGACTATAAGATACAGTGTAACCCGGATATAAGAGACCCGGATATAAGAGAAACCCGGATATAAGAGAGATTTTCTCTGGTCCCAAATTAGAGCCTGTGTTAATGTATATAAAATAGACCAAACCCGGATATAAGAGAAACCCCGATATAAGAGAAACCCGGATATAAGAGAAACCCGGATATAAGAGATTTTCTCTGGTCCCAAATTAGAGCCTGTGTTAATGTATATAAAATAGACCAAACCCGAATATAAGAGAAACCCTGATATAAGGGACTTCTTCTCTGGTCCCGACAACTCTCTTATATCCGGGTTACACTGTATATATGTGTGTGTGTGTACAGTCAAACACACACACACACACACACACACACATATATATATATATATATATATATATATATATATAGAGAGAGAGAGAGAGAGAGTGAGAGAGAGAGAGAGAGAGCAGATCTTTGACTTACACACTACTATTTATCAACACAGATATTAATAATGAGTCCAGGTTTGAGATGTTTAGTGAAAACTGACACCTGTCTTTTTCACTTTATTTTCTTTTTGCCGTTACATGAAAATCTTTGCATACTTATAAAAATCAATTTTCCGACAAATATAAACTCTATCATTTTATTGACACGAATCGAGGACTCACACAAGCCGAGAGAGAGGGACACACACAGTGATAGACAAAGATGCCCAGAGAAACCAAAGTTTCAAGTTTCTTTATCCAAGAAAGAAAAAAAGAAATCAACTCGTTCTTTCTGACACCTGGCGTAGGCGTGGCTTGTTTCGGTTTGCTCATTGGCTGTTTTATTTTTATTTTTTTTCCTACCCGGCGTCCATCGACAGAGGACGGAAGGCCCGTTTCAAATCTGTCGAACAATATACTCCCCCGTTTCTTTTGTGATGCCCTGACAACCAGAGAAGGCTTAGAAATGACGCCTCAGTAGTGGGTAGATGGACGCCACTGTTGAGAATCTAAACTGCAATGACGGAACATTTCGTATGAAAAATGGTTATCCTTATTTGTTGATAAATATTTCCCTTATCAAAGATGGTTGAGCGACCACTGACTTCTGAGAATCGACTGCAAAGAAAAATTATTTCCAAATAATAAAATAATAATAATAATAATGACGATGATGATGATAATAATGATGATGATGATGATAATAATAATGATAATAAAATATATCAAATGACATGTAGAGACGTTTGCTTTAAAATGTAACGGCTTATTTCAAGAAAGTACCCTTTTTCTTCTTCTTTTTTCTCTTTCTTTCTAGAAATTACCTTTTTTTCGTGTTCTATTTTTCTTTCTTTCTAGAAAGCATTTTAATCACGTTTATTTCTTATTCTTTCATTTATTTCCCTAATTTAATTATTTTTATTTTCGTTTTTTCTTACATTCATTTTTATTTCTTTCATATTCTCCAATATTTATTCATCTTCTTTGTTTCTTTAATTTTCATTCACGGACTGATTCTAATTTTCTCCAATTCTTTCAATTTGTCAAAGTTTGATTTTAATCTTCTTTCTTTCATTATTCTTTCGAAATTATTCTGTGGTTAATTTTTTTATGTCTTTATTTTAACGATTTCACCTAGTTTTTTTTTTCTTTCTTTCTTTCTTTCATTCTTTCTTTCTTTCTTTCTTTCTTTCTTTCTTTCTTTCTCATTTGAATTTTCTCTGAGTTTTATTCTAAATTAAATTCCTTATATTCATTCCTTTTTCTTTTTCTTATTTCCTAGTCGCTTTTTTCTTTTTCTTTTATTTCTCTTTCAGCCACATTCCCTAATTACTTCTTTTTTCCATTTTTTTCCCTTTCTTGTGTAAATATTTTATTCATACTTATATTTCGATTCTCTGATTTTAAATTACGCGATTCATTTTTCCTTCCACATTTCTTTCTTTCTTTCTTTCTTTCTTTCTTTCTTTCTTTCTTTCTTTCTTTCTTTCTTTCTTTCTTTCTTTCTCATCCACCCACTCCTTCATTTAATCTTTCTTTATTTCTCATCTATCCATTCCATCATCTAATCTTTCATGCTCCGTTTCTTTTTCTTTCTTTCTTTCTTTCTTTCTTTCTTTCTTTCTTTCTTTCTTTCTTTTCTCAGATTTAAAGTTTTCCCTTCTTCTTTTTGCTTTTTCTTAAATTTTCATTTTCAAAGTTCGCATTTTAATTCTTTCTTTCTTTCTTTCTTTCTTTCTTTCTTTCTTTCTTTCTTTCTTTCTTTCTTTCTTTCTTTCTTTCTCATCCACCCACTCCTTCATTTAATCTTTCTTTATTTCTCATCTATCCATTCCATCATCTAATCTTTCATGCTCCGTTTCTTTTTCTTTCTTTCTTTCTTTCTTTCTTTCTTTCTTTCTTTCTTTCTTTCTTTCTTATTCTCAGATTTAAAAGTTTTTTCCCCTTCTTCTTTCCTTGCTTCTTTCTTAAATTTTCATTTTCCAAAGTTCGCATTTTAATTTTCTTTCTTTCTTTCTTTCTTTCTTTCTTTCTTTCAATTTTGTTTAATTTTATTTAATTTTTTCATATTCAGTTATGTAATCCTTTTAATTTTTTTCTTATTCTCTGATTAAAACTTATTCATTCTTTCTTTTTTCCTTCTTTCGTCTTTTTCTGAATTTAAATTTCTTTCATTTGTCCATTTTCTCTTATGTTATCCTTTTTCTTTCATTCTTTTTTTATTCTCAACACTGAACCCTCTTTCCTTCTTTCTTTCTTTCTTTCTTTCCTTCTTTCTTTCTTTCTTTCCTTCTTTCTTTCTTTCTTTCTTTCTTTCCTTCCTTCTTTCTTTCTTTCTTCCATGATTTTTATTACTTCATTCCTTCTATTTTTTTTATTTTAATTATCTTTATTTCTTTACTTTTTTTCTTTCTTTCTTATTCATCCATTCCCTCAACTAAACGTTCTTTCTTTCCTTGTCATTAAATCCATTCCTTCGTCTAATCTTTCTTTCTTTCTTTCTTTCTTTCTTTCTTTCTTTCTTTCTTTGCGAATTTCTTTCTTTCTTTAAGCCTACTATAATTCCGTTCGTTTCTTTCTTTCTTTCTTTCTTTCTTTCTTTCTTTCTTTCTTTCCATCTGTTCCCCCTAATCCCTCTACTTTCTTCATTCTCTTTTATTATAATTCTTATTTTTCTTACCGTCAATTTTTCGACAGCTGGACTCGGTCTTCTAACTTAGGATGTCCTGTACAGACAAAGAAACAAACCAGTGACATGTCGGAATTCGAGCAGTTTAAAATCTAACGGTTACCTTCCCTCCTTCTCTCTCTCTCTCTCTTCATCTTTTCTTCAGTGCTCCTTTTTCCCCTCTCCTTTTCCATCCCATTATTTGTCATCTTTCTCTCCTCTGACATTTTTCTGCATGTCATTTCTTCTTCCCTCCATAGGTTGAGTATAAACCCCCACCCAAACACACAAACACACAACACAAACACACAAACACACAAATACACACAAACAAATGAACACAAACACACATACACATATATATGATATATCAAACCATATAATAGAGATCAGTGTGCATTTACTTATATATTTACTTATATATTTCCTGGCTCATCTGTAGTGGGAAGGGAGGTAGATCAACTTAAGTTAGTAAATTATTAGTGATTTTTTCCCTTAGTAATTTTGATAATCTATACAAAGAAAGGGGAAGTACTGGTAGCGGTTCGGATTTAGAAATCGAAGAGCCGAAATCGAATTCCAGTCGAATCAATTAATACTCTTGGGAAAGGTATGAATCCTCATCTTCTCCTCTCAGACCAAGTCTTATACCATTGGATGACAACTGGTCTACCGCAGAAAGAAATCGCAACGTAAGTCATGTATCGAAAAGATACATGATCGCCTAAGCGTGTATCACGCATGGCACATAACTAAATATAAATAAAATATGTCTCTGTATTTAGACAAAATTACATCCCGAGAAAGATGAGCCGTTTAATTAACAAATTACTTTACTTCTACGTTTCTTAGTCTGTAGTCTTATTTCTTCAAGTCTTTCATGTGAGGCACGCAGATTAAGTGATCGTCTTGTTTCAGCATGACATTGAAATAAGCTTTGTCGAGGCCGTCATTGTTGTTCTGTTTCTGAGAGAAATTTCCATTTCACTTTATATTAAACACATAATATTTTTATAATGAAAAGATATTGAACGAAAAGTGATTTATATAATATCAGGAATAATGAATGAATCGTACATACCATTGAACGTCTAAAATAATATAAAAGGAATGCATTAATTAAACGGTCTATTGGCCTCTATTTTCCGCTTTATTGAATCTCAGTACATTGTTTCAAGTGAACAGTGGCCGGCTACAACTAAAAGTTTCATGCATTTTCACGGAATCATCAGGAAGTCAGCAACTGTTATTTGAAAAATGTCCATTTTATACATCTTTATATATATATATTTATATATATATATATATATATATATATATATATATATATGGCCATAGATTAATAATTTGGATACACGACTACCCATCTGTAAAGACTCTTGAGAGATGTGCCGCTCAGTATGGACATATTTAAGCCAACACCGGTAAGCAACATACACGAACAGAACAGGAATATAATACATACCCCCACTTATTATAAAAAGCAGGAAACAAACCAACAATAATTATTTACATTATTCGACCTGTTATCCTCATATTTATTGCCATATTCACAACGTTTTGTCCGTTGTACGCTCCGGCCTTCGTCAGGTGATTGGAATTTCGAACCGGACCATTTATTTCATCCACCGGGGTAAATTGTTCTAGTTCCACGTGTCATGTCTCTTCCAGATGTCTCGGTTATTTCCCTTTAACTCAATTCTTCAAGTTTTTTGGTTCACCACTGCTGTAGCTTGGCATTGGGACTAGTGGATCTAACGTGAAGAAGGCCGGAGCGTAGAACGGCCGAAACGTTGTGAATTTGGCAATAAGGATAACAGTCCAAATAATGTAAATATTGCAAGTAATCATAATACCTCATCTCAGAGATATAAACAGATATATAGAGAGAGACATAGACATAAAGGCCGAAACATTGTGGATATGGCAATGAAGATGTGAATAACAGTCCGAATAATGTAAATAATACCTCATCTCAGAGATATAGACAGAAACCCGTAATAATATGAATTATGATTACAGCCAAAATGAACTGGCCGTATTTGTAAATTATATAATCATTACTTTGTTTAAAATTCCCAGCATCCCTCAATCATGCGCATGTGTAGTCGCATCAACATAAATAATTTTGGCCACTGAAGTCTTAAAGGACAAAACGCATTACAAGAAAACTTTTTTCACTTTGTCATATATTTTTTCCCAATATTTTTTTCTTTTTTTTTTAAGCATTTCACCCCATGCAAGGCGGGAGTACCACAAGAACGCAAGGGGTTAAAGAGTGTGAGAGCAAGTCTAACAAGGGTTGTATGAGGAAAGGATATAGAGAAGGTCATGGATCAAGATCAAGGCATCAGATGATGACGATTTACATTACATTTGAATATTTGAAGATTATAGCTAACAGGGAAGTAAGTAAGAGAAAGGAAGTTACACTGGCGGGAAGTACGAGAGAAGAAGCTGATGGAGTAGAAAAGGCGTTTACCTTTAACTGTTTCGACAGTGAAAGGGTGGGACCGAGATGCCAACCTAGTAGCACGCTTAAATTCATGAAGTTTGGGTACCAGTGAAAGTAGCTCGTCAGAAACTTGCCATGAAAATATTTGTAGAAAAGATAGAGGGAAGCCACATCACGTCTGTGAGAAAGTGACTGTAGACGAGATGACAGATCAGGATCTATTACATTGCATATCCATCTCTGGATTTTGTCTAGGTCCTCGCGATGAACAGCGGGGGTAGCAGACCATATATGACAAAAGTATTCAATGCAAGGCCAAATGGTAGATTTGTAGATTTGAAGGAAAGACTCAGGCGAGAAAAGCCTTCTGGCGCGACACAAAGAACCAACTTCCCTTACGGTCGTCTTGATATATATGAAATATAAATCATTACCTTATATATATATATTTGTTGACAACACTACTATAATAGCATTATCCATGTAAGCCTTATTAATCAAAACAAACTAACACATGATAATATTAACGTTGAACATGGGCATAATATCTCGACCGTGTTTTGAAGCAAAAAATGAAAACATTTTATAAAACATACAACAAACTATTTCTAATTTAAACAGTTAAAATATAATCCTTGAAAATGGCTAAATGTATAGCCAAAAGTGCTCGGATAAAAACAACATTCAGACAGTTTTTATATAATTTATCGTACGAAAAGAAAAAAAAATATTCGATCGCATGAAAAATTGTATAAAAAAATTAATAAAAGCAACTTGTCTGTCGTTTTTAATGAAATGTGCATGAAAGAAGGATTGCTGCCTAAATACACACACACACATACACACACACACACACACACACATATATATATATATATATATATATATACAAGTGTGAGGTAGGTTAGTACTAATGCCCAGACATTACATTTTAAAAATTATTCAATACAGAGTAGAGCTTAATAATAATTTATTAACAATTATAAGAAAAACATGTTATAAACCACTACATAAATGCAATGATGTTTCGACACTGTGTGTGCCTGTTCAGGTATTGGTGCTAGACTGGAGGGGTTCAAGGGTAAAGCCCTATATATTCAAGGACATCTTTACTTTAGCCTTAGAGTTTGTTAAGAAATATTCTGACATCTCTAGTAATGAACTCGGTATAATCATGAACTGCAGAAGATCCGTCCAATTTTACAATGAAGAACAATGTGCTAAAAGCAATTCCAATAATTATTTTGACATTTCCATGGGATCCTTGGACTCAAGTGGGAATAAAAGCCGCAGAAGACAGTCCCGTTTGAAGAAAATCCACTATTTTAGACAAACGACATCGAGAATACACGCAAAATACAGGCAAAATTGACTATTCTGAGTTCGATTCGAAATTAAAACAAATGTCATACAGAGACGGCCGCAACGGAAAACGGATGAAATATAAGGACATCGAACCAATCTTCAGAAACACCAACATACAGATTGACTAATCTGCGTTCGGTTCGAAAATTCAAACAAATATCACCTGAAGAAGTGCGGTGCGTTCTGTGACCGAAACGTCGTGAATGTAACAATAAAGATGAACACATCGAACCAATCTCCAGAAACACCAACATACAGATTAACTAGTCTGGGTTCGGTTTGAAATTCAAACAAATATCACCTGAAGAAGGGCGGAGCGTACCACGGCCGAAACATCGTGAATGTGACGATAAAGATGAGGACAACAGCCCGAACAATTTACATTGTGTAAATAGGATAGTAGCTATATGCAGAATATTAAGTAGGCTTTAAAAAAAATCTCGAGAGAGCTTCCTCAATGATTAAAAGAAAAATGCAAATCTATTCTAATATATCGATCTGTGGATATCAGCAAAATGGTGCCCAATTTATATATGCCCAACTGCGTGAAGTATCATCAACATTGTAAGGGCTATTTCCATGTATCTTTCTATATATAAAAATCCTGATGAAAGCAAAGTCACATTAGTACCAGCGTGTAGGGCGGGTCGTGTAATCTGCTGGCTTGTTGATGAGACTCTAATGTTTGTTACATTTAGGATGAGGTGTCCAATAAGAAAAAAAAAGATTCATTGCGGGTAGTGGTCAGTAAATAACATGTGATTTGAAGTAGGTCAGGGTGAAAATGGATGACGACTATGACGTATCGGAGGGGGGGAGGATGGTCGGCAGGGGGTAGGGATAAAATTGGCCATTTTTAAAAATACTTTTCAAGAAATCCCTGACACGCATACACTTACGTCCATACACGCATATCCATTCATCCACACACACACACACACACACACACACACACGCATAAATACACACACACACACACACACATAAATACACACACGCACACTCTCTCTCACTCACACACACACACACACATATATCTATATCTATATATATATAATTTTGTTTATCTGACCTTGCTTCGTATAACCATAAGCTTTTATTTCACTGTTTTATAAAATAAAATAAAAATATATATATATATATATATATATATATATATATATATATATATATATATATATGTGTGTGTGTGTGTGTGTGTGTGTGTGCGTGAAAAAATCTAGTATATAAATATAAATAAATATATATATAATTATTTATATATTATATACGCGGTACTTTATTAGAAAGCGCTCAATATCAATCAAATATATATATATATATATATATATATATATATATATATATATATATATATATATATATATATATATTGACAACACTAATATAACAGCATCATCTACATGTAAAAAGGCTAAAAATAATGGAAGCCTTATTAACAAAAACAAAAAAAACAACACTTAATAATATTAACTATGAACATGGACATAATATCTCAACCGTGTTTTGAAAAATGAAAACATTTTATAAAACATGCATAGAACAAACTATTTCTTATTTAACAGTTAAAAAAATGAATCCTTGAAAATGGCTAAATGTATAGCCGAAAGCGCTCGGATAAAAAGAATATTCGGACAGTTTTTATATAATTTATCATCTGAAAAGAAAAAAAAATATTTTAGATCGCATGAGAAATTGTATAAAAAACTAAATAAAAACACATTGTCTCTTGTATTCAATGAAATCTGCAGAAATATATATATATATATATATATATATATATATATATATATATATATATATATTGCACAGCATCCTCTTTAATGCAAGTTTTGTTGAAAACGACTGACAATGTAGTGTGTCGAGTCTTTATATAACTTCTCATGCGTTGGTATATTATTTTTTTTTTCTGGTCTTAAATTATATAAAACTTAAATTATATATATGTTTTACAAGCGCTTTCGGCTATACTTTTAGCCATTATCAAGGATGGATTTTATTTTACTGAATATTTCCATTGTTTTATGGATGTATTTAGAGTTTTAAGAATGTTTTATTTTCCAAACACGGTCAGCACATTGTGACCGTGTTCATAGTTGATATTATTAAATGTATGCTTTTTTTTTATTAATAATGCTTCCATTATTTTTAGCCTCTTTTTAAATGTGGATTATACTATTATATTTGTATTATCAACGATTATGTTACGGATAGAGTCTGGAAGATCTCCATGTGTATTTAAATGAGACCTAATTGAGCTATGGTCATAGAGATGTTGCGTGAGTCTTCTTGTTAGGCATTTTGCAGTATATCCAATATAATTATTTATGAATTTGGTTTGATCAGAAACACAGTTGTGTATCTCTTTATGATGTTTCAGGTAAAGATGACTTGTTAATTTTAACGCCTCCCGCACTAAATTTCTCTCAGTTAATCATCTGTCAGACTCCTTGCTGCCTTCCATCCTCATGGCTGATGCTATCCTCCAGGAAAGTCACCCGTTGCGCCTTTCGGGATCACATTCTCAGCTGAGATGAAATAGAAAGACTATATTGAATACATTACGAGGTCAGTTACTAAGTTAGTTCACTGTGTCGTACAAAACAATTTTTCTCTCCCGAACCTGTCTTGCATATCTATAAGTCTATCATTCACCCATGATTAGAATATTCCTGCTATATATGGCCCGGTGCCCCTTCTATTTACCTTGAGCTCCTTGATGAGATCTAAAGAAGAATCAGCAATATTATTGGTCCTGATTTGGCAGCTCAACTCTATTCACTTTCCCACCACCGTAAGGTTACCTCGCTATGTCTTTTCGCGGTAATTGTTTGAATGAAGTCTTCGGTATGGTACCTAGATTTTTAAAAAAATTAAGCGCAGCATTAGACTGCCATCGAGATCTCGTCAATTTACTTTTGAACTGGCTAGATGTAGCCGTAAATTCTATGCTAACAGTTTCTTCTGGCTCTATTGTTTCCAGTCAACGTTAATGTGCAAAAATTTAAATGCAATGTAAATCGCTTTCTACAGTCCACATGATTACTCACTTGTCTTTCTGCTCAATAATAATGTTTCTGTTCCTAATTCTTCCGCACCCTATAACACCTTGTGTTTTAGTGATATTAGTTACTATGCATTCGATTTTTGTAGAAAATGTTAATGTTACTTTTTTTCTTTAATATGGTAATCTATAAGAAGGTTAGGAAAACCGTTATTAACAAACATTTGTTTCACATTATTAAGTTCTTTAATGAAAAGCGGACGAGTGGATGAATTCTCGTGCTCTCTCATAACATTTTTAGTCGGAAATACATTGACTAGTAAAATTAAGATGACGAGAATAAACCATAAGTAAAAACTCTTGACAGGTGCTCTTCGCTCGGATGTACGGGCAGTGTAAGGAATAATGGCTCGGAATTGGTAATCTAAAAGCAGAGTTCGAATTTCAGTTGGTCCATTATATTCATTTACACGCAAACACTCTTGGGAAAAGTATGCATTCACATCTTTCCCTCCTACAACTTTCGATTAATTATTAGGATTTGTAACACTAAACTGGCTTTAAATAACCTGCAAAGGGGTGATAAACCGAAGAAAATGAATCAATCAATCACTGAAATCCTGATTAGCTACACAGGCATGTCTTTTAGATTTATTTACATTCTCCGAAATATAAATGTAGAGAAACTACCGTGGCCACAAAGTGGGAGGAGAGTTTATATAGTGATTACAATATAAAATAGATACCCCACTTTATATAGACATTAAAATTTCCTCACGAGGTATGAATCCAAATTTTCTCCTCCCAGTTATGGGTTAATTTTACTAATTTAGTTTCCATCACAAAACCATTATTATCTCCAAAAGATATAAAAATATTTTCTGGCTTTACATAACCTGCACAGAGTTGATAAACCGTAAAAAAACGAACCGATCAATCAAAAGCAAATATATTTTGCCAATGAATTCATATCAAGTGAACTAACATTTCTTTCATCCGAATTGGGTAAACAATAATGTTCTCTTATGTAAGAAAAAGCCTGGCAAATAAGCTTATATTGTTCATTGTTGCTTAGTTAAATGCTATTTCAGTTTTTCATTATATAAGTTCAAACCTAATTTTTGGAGTTTCTAAAGATTATCTCGGTGTCGTTTGTCTAAAAAAGTGGATTTTCTTCGAATGGGACTGTCTTCTGCAGCTTTTATTCCCAGCTAATTATTTTGTTGGTTTTAGACCGGACAACATCGTAACTAATGTGAACTATATGGAACACAATGGATAAGTCAATATGACTATTTGTAGCAGTAGGTAATGAAGTAACTCTATCTATCTATCTATCTATCTATCTATCTATCTATCTATCTCATTCTTTTCATCTCTCCTCTTTTCCCTCTCTCTATATATACATTTTTGTATTTATCTACTTAATTCTCTTCGTTATCTATCTATCTATCTATCTATCTATCTATCTATCTATCTATCTCAGTTTGTTCATTATCTATCTATCTATCTATCTATCTATCTATCTATCTATCTATCTATCTATCTCATTCTGTTCATATCTATTTCATTCAGTTTATCTCATTTAAAATTATTTGAAATTCATTTTGCTCGCTCTTTTTCTCCCCCCCCCCACATTTCATTCCATTCATGTCCTGTATATATATATATATATATATATATATATATATATATATATATATATATATCACTTTGAATCCATTTTAAACGTGTCTCTTATCTCTCCCCCCTTTTTTTCTCTCTTTTTCTACTATCAGTATCTCTTTATATCTGTTTACGCGTTTCGCCTTTATTTTCTTTCCAAAATGTCTGCCCTTGCGCCCTCCCCTTTCCTTTCTTGCCGTTACTGTTTTTATTGTCTCAGTAGCAGCTTAAGCAGGCACCTGCCGACTGAACCCTTGACGAATTTTGCCGTCAGTTATAGCAACCAACCATACCATGGAGACGAGCAGGCAAACCAACTAATCAAGCAACCAACCAACCAACCAACCAACCAACCAGTTGGCCTGCCCTGATCCCATTCCACCACCACCACCACCACCACCCCCGCCTCTCGGAGTCGATCAGAATCGATCGGAATGTACTTTGCGGCTTTTCTCTTCTTTCCCGACTGTAATATCTGCACAGATCAACAGAAGCTGGCGATGATAGGGAAGGACGGAGAACTAGCGGTTATCTGGTGAAGACAACCGTCACCAAATGCCCAGTTAGGATTGTCGTCCCCGCCGCCGCCACCACCGTCACCATCATCGTCATCATCATCTATTTGGGGTTCTTCGGCTTTTAATGTTTGGGATAGATATCAACAGACGGGAAGAGTGGTGTGTGTGTGTGTGTGTGTGTGTGTGTGTGTGTGTGTGTGAGAGAGAGAGAGAGTATTTGTGTGTGTGTGTGTGTGTGTGTGAGAGAGAGAGAGAGTATGTGTATGTGTGTGTGTGCAAGAGGGAGAGAGAACGAGATAGAGAAAAAACTTGGAAATACTGAAAGGTAAACAATGAGTTACATAGATTTGATAGATAGATATTAACAGAAGGTGATAAAATATATATATACACCTTTGTGGAAATTAATTGAAACAAAACGAATAATATCGTTATTATTTACTTCTTTTTCGTATTTTCCCAATGAAACATGACCCAGTTCACATGTTAGTATTTCGTATGTCGATTCCACAAAGCCCTTCCTTGCAGATTGACCACAGACTATCGATTGGATTTATATCAATAGAGTTTCTGATCCAGTCTATAGTACTTTGCTCACTGGTAAAGCTTGCCAGTGTGTTCATGCAGCGTTACAATTTTCGTACGCTTCCTTGGACTAATGTTCATCACAGACAATAGCCGAAGGACAAATAATCGACAGTCGAGACAATAGTGTCTGGGCCAGATAAAAATCTGATGCAATAACGGATGACGCAGTATTATTCAACGCCTAACAAATTACACTATGCACCCACTAAAATAAATTCATATTACTGCAACCACTGCAAATGATCTAATCCGAGGAAAAAATAGTCGATTACACCCTCTTATTCCATATCCTGATCGTATGTTGAAAAAAGAAAAAGAATTTAAAGCAGGGTATAATATATATATATATTTATATTTTATATATAGGGTAAATATTATATATATATATATATATATATATATATATATATATATAGGGAGAGAGAGAGAGAAAATATTATACAGAATATATATATATATATATATATATATATATATATATATATATATATATATATATACACCGGATGTAACAGCAAATTGTCCAAGTCGTGTTATAGCAAAATTGTCCATTTGTTAAATTAAGCTCTGAACTGTTGTATCTTAGAAATGATTAAATATATCTTACTGGAATTCTCCTAGGTTTTTCTAAGAATATTGGACTTTGAGCAATAAGAATGCATAATTACTCTCCAAGTTAAAAGAATCGTGATGAAATCAATCATAAATGAAAATATGTTCATCATTATTTAACCATCGGAAGCTCATGGAGGATTGAAATAAAGTTTATATATATATATATATATATATATATATATATATATATATATATATATATATATTACAGGATCATTTTCCACCTTATTCAAGATGATCTTCGCCCTCGCTAACCTTCTAACTTTCTTTCCTGGAGTAGCAAGGCGCCTCACAGTTTACACGTACGATTTCATTTTAAAGTATTTTTTCACTGCTCTTTGGACTGTCATAGCTGAAACTCCTCTCTCATGTGGCAAACGTCCTTTGAAATGAATTGCATTTTTTCTAATTGATCTCTTTAGCTCTAAGTTGATGATGCCTCATCCTTTTGTAACCTCCTGATCTAGTTTCTCTCTCTACTGTTCCATCTTTTTTAAATTTATTCACTGTTTTCTTGATGGTTTTTTTAATGTACTTTGAAGATGAAAGCCAGATTATGAATGTTGGTAACATTACTAAAAGCCTGAATGATCTTTTTCCTCTAACCATTGTTCGGTTTGGAAGACATAGGGAGGCTGACACAAAATGATTTTAACCTGTTCTCTTTCTAACTGAATAACTCAAAGCGTTTTTCAATGATTCTTAAGTCAAATTGTGTTAAAATGGCTAAAATCCTTATATGAAAACCTGTTAAAAAGAAACTCATTTATTTTTATTTTTATTTTTTTACATATTGGACATTTTGTGGGATGGACAGTTATACCAATACACAATTTGTACAATTTTGCTCTTACAACTGGAATATATATATATATATATATATATATATATATATATATATATAATATATATATATATATAAAGTGTGCTACATTTATGGGATAAAGTGCTCAATAGCAAAGATAGAGCGTGTGTAAATACTCACGCTCATAAATATATATATATATATATATATATATATATATATATATATATATATATATATATATAAAAAAGTGAACTTTCAAGTCAACACTCAGAGGTGATAGGTTGTTTCATATCGAAAAATAATAGAGAATTCAGGCCGCCTGAACATATATATATATATATATATATATATATATATATATATATATATATATATAGTGAGCATTGAAATCACCAGTTAGAGGTGACAGTCTGTTTCATGCTAGATGCAATCGTAAGGCCACCGAATGACGTCGCTGTCAAGCCTAATGATTGCGTCTAACATGAAACAGCCTGTCGCCTCTAAGTGTTGACTTCAATGTTCACTTTTATATTTACACACGCTCTATCTCTGATATTGAGCACTTTGTCCCATAAATATAGCACACCTTAAAACTATATTTCTTCATATATATATATATATATATGAAAATATTTAGATAGATAAACAGACAGAAAGAGACGACAGAGAGAATTTGAGGGATAAATTAACTTACTGGTATTGATCAATATTTAGACATGAATCGATGTGTGTGTATATATATATATATATATATATATATATATATATATATATATATATATATATACACGCACATATATATAAACAAATGGATAAATATAGTTAAATGTACGAGCGAGCGTATGAAATTCCGAGATATTATTTTATATTTTAATATATATATATATATATATATATATATATATATATATATATATATATATATATATATATATATATGTGTGTGTGTTTAACAATTGGAGAGCAGTGTGCAAAATTTTGACATGAGACACGCAGAAGTCAAGACCCCATTCACGTTCACACGCAAAAAGCTACCGTGCCAACAAACTACAAATCAGTTCCTTTTCTTTTCTCTCTCTATCTGCGAACCACGATCAAAGCGGAAGGAGTGATGGAAAGTAGACACGAAAAGAAACAAATCGACAACTGAAAAGAAAGAAAGAAAGAAAGAAAGAGAAAATGCAGAATAGAAAGGCATAGAGAGAGAAGATAAATATATGTCAGACAAAACTCGGCTGAGTTTTATTTTTTTTTTTCAGCTTGAATTAAAATTCACATAAAGTTACTTTTCTTCGAGGTGTTTTGGATTGTGTGATCGACTATCACTAGCGATGATGTTCTAATTTCTCAGCAAATTTGACTCTCAAGATCACCCAAGGTGTGTCACAAAAGCGTGTGTACAAAAGCGATATATGTGTGTGTGTGTGCGTGTGTGTGTGTGTGCGTGCGCACGCGCGCGCTTAGGAGACACTCTCGTTAGATCCTACGTACTTTTAACCTACTCGGCCACGATGACCGTCGTCGAGTAAAGTGGTATTGAACTACGTTTAATTGGCGTTGATCTTCGTGGCCGAGTCGGTGAAAAGCACATAGAATTTAACGATGGTTTCTCCTGCAAATGTGGACGCAAGTTCGAATCCTGGTGGAACGCACATTTTTTTTTTCAATAAGATCTCTCGAATATCCAGTCCAGAAGAGGATAATAAATATACTCTTTAAAAAATAAATGGCGCATGTACTGCAAAATATGAGAAACAGATGACGAGTAAGATTGATTATTAACATACTGAAGTAGATTCATATTTAAACACTAATTGTATAGATATATAGATATGAAGAGAGATAGAAAGAGTGGTATGAACAGAATGACAAACATACAGAGAGAGAGAGAGGGCGAATAAGAGTGATTGACAGTGAAATAGATCTGTATGAATTGCATGTTAGATAGATAGAACGACAAACAGATTGCATGTTAGATAGACAGACAGAAAGACAGAAGAGATATGGATCGTCTAAAATAGGTAGGTGGAGAGAGAGAGATAATATATATATATTATGAAAATATTGATATATAATTTATTTTAATATATTTTCAGTTTATACGTTATTTTCATACATACAAATATTTGAGTAAATGCTCTGTTTATAATAAACAGTATTAACGACATTTACCGACCTGAATGTCCAAGAAATTTTCATAGAAAATATGCGTCCTCCGACAGGAATCGAACCTGTATCCTCCAAGGAACCGTCATTTGGACTGACGTACTATATCATTTAGTTACAGACGGTTAAATGATTTAGTGAGATGACGGTTCCGTGAAGGATACAAGTTCCAGTCCTGTCGGAGAACACAAATTTTCTATGAAATTTCTCGGAAATTCTGTCCGGAAAATGTAGTTAATACTGCTTACTGTAAACAGAGTATTTACTTAAATATTTGTATCTATAAAAATAACGTCTGAACAGGATATATATATATATATATATATATATATATATATATATATATATATATATATATATATATATATATATATATATACACACACCCTAGTGAGCCAGACAAACCTACCTAGGTTTCACCTAAACGGATCGTCAGCCAAACGTTCCCTGACGATCCGTTTAGGTGAAACCTAGGTAGGTTTGTCTGGCTCACTAGGTGTATCTAGGTCTGCTCTACGGTTGTATTGAGCGCTTTTGTTAGTTAGTTGTTACTCGTATCGGGGTTTTTTCTTTGGGCTTCAGACCTGCATCTGTGCGATTTTTTTGTCGGCAGAAGTTCATGTTTGTAGCTCTTTCTTTTTGTAAACCTTTTTTTCCCTCGAGATTGATTTGATTAGCAAATCAAAAATTCGAGGGTTTTTCGAAACGAGTCTAGTTATCTACATATATATATATATATATATATATATATATATATATTGAGAGAATATATAGAGAATATATATATCGAATATGTATAGAATATATATACAGAGAGAGACAAAGAAAGAAAGACAGAAGGGAAGTTATAATAAACAGCCCGAGAGAGAGAGAGAGAGAGAGAGAGAGAGAGAGAGAGAGAGGACAGCTATAGAGATAGGCAAGATAATCTTCTATTTAAACATAAGCACACGCTTCTTCATTAAAGACATCGACCATTTTACGAATCTAAACTCATATATATATATATATATATATATATATATATATATATATTTATATATGTATATACATATATACACATATATATATGCTGTGTCAGGGTCGGAAGTTATTGATCCACCTACGCAGATATAAATAGATAAATATGAACTGATTGGAAGCGATTCATTCATAAACTGTGACATAGATATGAAGAAAAAGAAACAATTCCACAGAGTGAGGACAGAGGGGGAGGAAGAAATAAATATATATGGGAAAATACTTGTGTATTAACAAGCTGGGACATAATGTCAGATCCTAACAAACTGGATACATTGACATGCATAGATGTGGGAATATATATATATATATATATCAAAACATGTTTCGTTGTATAGTTTAGACATGTTCCGTCAACTTATATTTGATAAGATCCTTTCATACTCGCGGATAAGATTTTGATGACATTACTGAAAGTCGATATAAGATCGGTGTGTTTATATATATTTGTTTTATTTCCAAGTACTTTCGACATATCCATGTCATTATCAGGGTATTGTTTATAACAAAATAATTATTATAGTATTCATTATTGTCAGAGACAAAGTGTTGTGTTATCTGAAAATAAAATATATATATATATATATATATATATATATATATACACACACACACACACACACACACACACACACACACATATATATATATTGTGTGTGTATTTTAGGCATTTAGGCATTTATATGCAGGTGTTTATCGTTGCTTGGAAATCATCCATGTAAACAGAAACAGACTATCATCACATTCTTGTCTGTCTATTACATAATGTATTATACTGTAATTGTCATCTTTGATAATGGTTTATGTAAGACGAAAGCTTAGATTGGATTAAAAAATATGTATAAATATTGTGATTTTCTTTCTTCGTTCAATGATAATGTTATTAAGCTTATCAGATGTTATGAAAAGAATTTACATAAAATAAATAGACAGCACTTGTCTATATTATTTAATGAAACGTGTATGAATAAATACATACACACACATATATACATATATATATAATATATATATTAGGTTGGTGCAAAAATAATGTCGTTTTTTGACGTTCAACTTCAAAAGATCATAACTCCTTTCATAATAAACTTTATTAATCGAAATAAGAACCATTAGAATTGACACATTTTTGCCAACGAGAAACAAGTTTATGTATCCCATTAGCATAGAAATCCTGAGTTTTGGAAGCGATGAAGTCATTGAAGGCTGATTCGGCATCATCTCGGCTTTTGAAGCATTTTTCGCGCAGGAAGTTGTCGAGATGTTTGAAAAAGTGATAATCGGTGGGCGAGAGGTCCGGTGAATATGGCGGATGAGGCAGAGTCTCGTAGCCCAATTCGTTCAGCTTCTGCAGGGTCAGTTGAGCAACATGCGGGCGAGCGTTGTCATGGAGGAGAATTGGTCCCTTCATATTGACCAATATCGGGCACATACGTTGGAGCTTCTGGTGCATTTCGTCAATTTGTCGGCAGTACTTCTCCGCCGTAATCGTTTCGCCCAGATTCAAGAAGCTGTGATGGATGAGACCGGCCGCAGACCACCAAACAGTCACCATAACCTTTTTTTGGTGCAATTTCGGCTTCGGGAAGAGTTGTGGAGCTTCTCCGGCATCCAACCACTGTGCCGAACGTCGCCGGTTGTCGTAGAGGATCCACTTCTCATCACACGTCACAATCCGCTCGAGAAATGGGCCGTTTTTGTTGCGCAGAAGGAGCGTAGAAGACACCTCAAAACGACGATTTTTAGGATTATCGTTCAATTCATGCGGCACCCATTTATCCAACTTTTTTGACTTCCCTATTTGCTTTAAATGGCGAACGACTGTTGAGTGGTCGACCTCGAGTTCAACAGCAACTTCTCGTGTGGTTTTGCGAGGATCGGCTTCAATTAAGGCTTTCAAATGTTCGTTATCAACCGCAGTCGGCCGGCCGCGACCGTCTTCATCTTCAAGGCTCTCGTCACCATTGCGAAATTTCTTGAACCACCGTTGTGCCACACGTTCGTTAGTGGTTCCTGGGCCAAACGCATCATTGATATCACGAGCTGTCTCGGCAGCTTTTCGGCCTAGTTTGAACTGGAACAAGAAAATCTTGCGGATTTGAATTTTGTCCATGCTGTCGAAAAGCCTGCAAAAAATGAATGAAGAGATTGAGAACGGTAACGAATAACACGATTCGATAGAGCGAAAAACGCGCTTCAAAATGATATATAACATGGCTATATATATCAATGAATAATTCATTCAGAAATCATATATAAAAGTAACATATGTGAGAAAACGACATTATTTTCGCACTAACCTAATATATATATATATATATATATATATATATATATATATATATATATATATATATATATATAGTTAGTTTATGCAAATTTAGGTAATCCGTATGGGTAGACCCGAGAAGGATGATATCCAGAGAGCTCAATGTAAAATTCAGAGCAGATATGTTTGAATAAAAAACAGACCACGTTAAGATTCCATGTAATAAGCTATTTCACCATAACCCCTTTAACAGGGTTCTGGATCATCAGACTTTACTTCCAAAAGCTGAAATGAAAAATGAAAAGAAATTCACACGTTTTTTACGGGCCTCATCAAGTATACGCAAAGTTAACGAAGTGAGGTGGGAGAGAGGATATGAGTGTGTCATATGTATCATTTCCGTTTCCTATTTTTAACCCCAGTGTGTCGGCTGGATGTTGCTCAAATTTAACGCGTCTCGTCTCTAGATAAAGGTGGTTAAGGGGTGAGCGATAAGAACTACATTAAAGGAAGACGTTACAACAACCCCAATAAATTACACGATAGGTTTCATTCAAATTCTTAGACGTTGTCAGTTCGCGTTACTTTAACGTGCATATTTGGGAGGTTAAGGTTTGATAAATATCTAAATTTCAAAACAATCTACGAAGGAATTAATTTTTTTTTTCCA